TATTCCAATCCCTCCAATAGCGCAGAATGGTTCCCCACAATTTCGTCTCATTGTTTACACCTCATTTACTCTGTTGGTGTTCCAAAGGCTCACGATTAAAATCCAATAAACATAGCTCATTTTTGATCACCCTATAAAGTTTGCATTTATCCATTTTCGATGTACACCGGATGCCTTTGCATATCTCTCCTATTTTGTTTTTATCAACCTTTGATAAAATGCAAGACAAGCCGTATATGTTTTCTGGACGACAGTGATGCATACAACACCATCGATAGGCAAATATTACTTAATAATCTTTCTTAAGTTTGAGCTTAATGTCCTAAAATGGAACTCTTCATCAACTATTTCTCAAACCGTCTTAACAGTTCAGATGATACGAAAGAAGTGGACAAGGTGTGCTACAAAGTGATATTTCATCCGCTTTGTATTCTCCGTTTACATCTCTTGTATGCCTGCGAGTAACTCTCCGTTCGTTCTTATTTATCAGGATCATACCATATTTTTGTACAGTATCCATTCGATCGTATCAGCAAAAATTATATTACATGATATGGGAGAAAATCTGGTAAATTACCATTTTCTTCCTTTGCCTTGGTAGTATTTCAACCGTTTCAAACATAATCTCGACTAATCTAAAGTCAATAACATCAATTACTTTTATATCTCACATCTCGAATCACTTACCCGCATCATTCATCTCATAGGGGTTTTTGATCTCTTCTTTCGCTTCGATTGATTGATTACATCTGTCTCCTGTCAACTATCTCGATCGACCTATGAAGTACCACAACCTCATTTCCCTATTATTTAAACGTCTCTCGGTTGGTCGTCAGATCGTGCGGGAACGTCTGGTATAAAAGTTTGTAGCAGGCTAGCTCAACCCCCAAAAAAACGTTTTGCCAGAAGATTTTATCTAATTGCTCCCATTCTCAATACCCTGATCTCATTTAGTGCCTTATTTCATCCATCGGTTTTGGTTATCAACTCACACAGGCATGCACTGAGGATTAAAGCCGTTCCATTCTTAAGCATTTCGCTTAGTTTATCAACAACTATAGACAAATTACTTGCAATCGGCATAAAATGATAACCTGAAATGCTCATAAATATTATAGTATGTTATTGATATTTTTTTGTTTATGTCCGTTTATTTGCGAGTTACAGAATAATATTTCCTGTTAATTGACAAATTGTGGTTCGGTGGTTGCTGAATATTACCACCTTTTTTTGTACACCAAGCGATTCGTTTAATCGAGAGGTCATCTACGACATACCGCACAATTTCAAGTCGTCGAATTTTAAGAAAAACGTTCAAAAGGAAGTAACACCTGACGCATCACATCACTAGCCCCTACCAAAACTGTTTCAACGAAAGCCCAGTGAGACAAACCATGCACAACTATACCACTGCGCGATGAATTCTTTCAACCCGAGATTACCCAATGAAACTGAGTTAGACAGCCTAGGTTGAAGGAAAACTACTTGATTACAGAAGTACAAACTTGCTTTCAGTTCAGTCAAATACCACATTTGGACAAAATGGAGAATAGTTTAGAATGCACCGGAAAGATTTTAACTAATATGTACCAACTTTGGCAACACCGAACACGACGTTAGAACCACTCATTCAACGCCAGGCTGGTTGAAATCTCAATTTGTGTTAACTACAAACTCCCGGCTTAATACCAGTAGACATAAAAAATAAATTGGGATCTGCCAACGAAAACCAGAATATCCACTAATTCGCTAATTAACACCTCGTTGTCTCAAACAGTTCACCTTCAGGTTTTAAGCCACATCGTGCTAACCTGAATTGTTCATCGAAAAAGCACACAGTGCTGACGTAAAAACTGGGACGCAGGTTGGAAGTAACCTATCTATCGGTGTTAATCAAAACAGAACTTCAATACTTGAACATGATCCACTCTGAAACCGTACTTGTTACGAGTGCCACGTCCAGTTAAACCGAATTCTTCCACTTCTCGAAAGTGATAATTCAACACCAGGTCCCTCCAAATATTCTGCCGTGGTCCACCTCAGTACATGTGAAATATTGTAACGAATAGAACGTTATCCAAACAGTTTCTTCGAGTGAAAATGCCTTTTTTTAACACAAAACAACACGCCTTACGCGCAGGAATAGCTAGTCATAAGTTGCACAAACCATTTTGTCATTTTTGTGAACGGGATTATTCGTCTGAGAATATGCATAAAACACCTCTCTAAAGCCATTGTACTTCTTATATTGGCCCCTGTGGGCAATGCTAATCAGCAAACAAGCTACTTTTAAAATTTCGTACTTCCGTATATTTTGCCACCGTATTTCCATTCTCCACCAACTATCTAATCTTCTTTTCCAGTTGAAAAAAGTAACGGAGGAAGGTTTTCTCAATTAGTTGAAAGTAGCTTCCATGCATTTTTAAAATTTATTTCAGAATATCTGCCGTGATAAGGACAGAGAAACCTGAACATTTGTTCAATTTGGCTAACTAAATTTTAAATATTGACCTGATGTATTTGGTTTTGAATCAAATGAAAGTAAAAATAGTGTGTTTCGGGGCTATAGCTATTTGACTTTTTGTTTAAATGCCCATTCCACCGTATCCTTCGTTCCCTGGCGATTCATCATCATCATCATCATCATCATCATCATCATCATCATCATCATCATCATCAT